TGCAGGGCCAAGCAGTGAAATGGCACACACATCTTAAGGTTAAGAGTTTTTCTGATAGAACTCCTGGTGACATTTAATAAAATTAGTTGAAAATGCTGAATAGATTTACTATTATTTATACCTTTTGACCAATAAATAAATAAATAAGGAAAATGTGTTGGACTTGGATGAGGTTTTTTTTCCAGGTCTTTACTTGAGGAGATTTCTGAAGTGAGATTTCCTACAATAATAAAATGTTATTGGTGTTGGGCAGCCTACTGTGATTGGAAGATTATTCCTTTCCAATACTGGAAGGTCAGGAGAGAAAAGTTGCTTAATCTATCTGCACACACAGCAGCACACGCAAGCTTCCAACATCTCTGACCTTTTCAAATCACTGAGCAAGTGGCACATTTCACATTCAGCTGCTTCCTGTTTTCAGAAAAGCAATAAAATCATTACAGAATTTCTGCACAGTGTGATAGTTTTCCTTTCCTCTTCCTCCCATTCTCTTTTCCTCAGTCTCTCTCCCTGAAACCGCCTGCATGTTTCAGTCCGGTTCTCTCATTACCGCCTCACAAAAACATCTGTGTTCAGTGACATAACTCATAACCCATGTGGAAAAGTGATGAAGAAAACAGACAGCTCAGTGTTACATAAAATGTGTGGGAGAGTGTTTAAAGATGCTTAAATTCACACTTTCTGTGCACAATCTGGTATCATTGCCTCTCTGGAACCAATACAATTGCTTGAAAGTTTCCTTTGGTCAGATGTTTTGGTAACCAGCACTGTCTACCAAGCCTTGGTGCTGCTCAGAATGTGCGTGTGTTTTTGTAAAGAGTGATTCTGACGTGACCTGAATCACCAACCGGGTTATTTATTCCCCTCAAACACACACACTCAGCTGTGACTAATCACTGCAGAGTAAGCCACCGCCAGCACAAAACTACATCCTCCTGAGAGCCAAGGCACATTAAATGGGCAGTCACCACAAAATACAGAGGTTAGATGGTAAATATATACTATAAACAGCTCAATCTGAGCCATGTACTGTAGCCACTTTTCTCAAAGATTCGCATTTGCAAAATGAAACTCAGAAAACAACTTCAGAAAACATTATACACACGCTCCCCTATAGATTCAGGGATGGGCTGGAAACACCAAACACCAGCACTGCACATTTATAAACTAGCAGCCCTGATAAACAAGAAATCTATGGTCTGTAAAGATCAGACATCTCATCTCATCGGAGTCAACAGCAAACACACGCAGAACATAAAGGGTGAGCTTAATTACAGTCAGAGGTTAGTACTGACTAAGAGGAAACATTTGGCCATTGGCCAAACTGTATTTCAGTACTGAATGACTCTTAATGATCACCAACGCAACTGCAGATCTATAACGGAGACCATTAAGTCCAAAAAAGGAAATTTCAGTCATTATTTATTCACCCTCATGTCATTCCAAAACTGTAGCCTATGAATTTGTTATGTGGAATAATAAAGAAGATATTTTGAAGACGTTTTTTTTTTTTGGAAAAATGTGTCTAATGCCAAATTTATAATGCAAAGGTGGTACAGAAGTTTCTTTACACAGACTGTAATTACAACTGTACTGTATATTTTGATAGTAGGGGCTGAGGTGGTTCAAAACATAATTTAGTCTGGCTATTATGTGGCATTGTGTCTTTACACAGAATTTTGAGCAGGCACAGAGGAGCCTTAACTTGGCTGTGTAAAGATGCCTTTAAATGTACCATGAAGAAAGAAAGTCACACTGATTTGGAATGACATGAGACAGAATTTATGTTTTTAGGTGAACTTTCCCTTTAAATACCAGTTCAAAGTCTATACACGCAATGTGTCTCTATCTGCACATTTGAAACTGTGTGGAAAAAATAAAAGATATATGCACTAAACATCTGACATATGAGGAAATGAGGAATTGTAATTACACAAACGGCTCTTTATATGAGCTTGACTGCAGTTCTAGTGCTTGTTGTAACTTTTTGCACTATGCACAGCTGTACCATTTAAAGTTTCTGCATGCATGCGGTAGAAGGACATTCATTATTTGGAAACACCTGCTCAAATTTTAAATCCTTATTCTTGGCCAGTCCTCCATTTAACCTAACCATTAACATCAATAGCAAAGCTCCTTCGAGATTTCATTGTACTTCGTCAATTTGGCTGGTCTATAAAGGCTTGTTCCTTATTTATCCTTGCCTAATAGCAGTGATTTTGACTTTCAGTCCACTGTTGCATGCTCACACATCTGCCATTAGTCATTCAAATCCGTGCCTATTCAACTGGCAATTAAGATTCTAGTTGCACAGCTTTTTAAGAAGGACAACATGTTGGTTTTCTTGTTTCTTCTGGGCAGCAGGTCATTTATGTTATTTACTTTGCACCTGCAACACAAAAACCTCTTTGGTCTCCTAGGGCATGTGCACATGGCAAATATTTAAGTGTGTGTGTGATGCCAGTAGGGAGCACTAACAAGGTGATAGCAAAGCTCAAATTGCCTCATACACACACAGTTAAACAAAATTTGAAGCCAAGGTGCTTGGACTAAGGCTAAAGTTGCAGGGTTGTTTAACAACAATAAACTGCTTAAATATATTCATATTTGCCACATGATATTCACAGAGCACAATATACAGAAATGCAATGGCTTATACTTGCCTGAGAAATCCAATGCACAATTACCATAAGCATTTAAATGTAACATGCCATGGCAAAATACTGTTCTCATTATCAACTCTCATTCGTACTGTGAGACATGTGTCAACTCCTATTCAATCACACTTATTCTTTGAGTGCAGCATTAATGCAATAATTTGAAAGCTCCAGAAATAAATTGAAATGATGTATCCTACACTGTAAAACCGGGTAAGTTAATATAACTCAAAAAAATAGTTGAAACTGATTACATCGAAATTTTTAAGTTATATTAACTAAATTTTATAATTTAAAGAAACATCATTTTTTAAGTAAATGTTACTAAGTAATTTTAACTGATATTAACTTAATCTTACAAGTTACTACAACATTATTGATCAAGTTCATTTTACAAGGAGTTTTTGGGTTCACAGAACCAATTAAAATTAAATAAAGATGACTTAAACATTTTTGTTACATTACAATTAAGTTTACCTTCGTAAAAACATTAGTTTTAATAAATAACTATACACTAACTAAAATAAAAATAAAATAAGAAAAATGGGTTAGAAGACAATTTAAATGCAAATTACTATTTTATTAAGTAACCACAAATCATTAACAAAACATCAACATTAAATTGTTTGTCAAATGGAAATACATTCTCCAAAACAGTGCAAGGCCCTTGAGAAATGAGCTGAGATAATAACTGTCACTTTTAGAAGTGGACAATATGGATATCTGGATATCACCCAGCTGTAAACACTTCCCTAAAATAGGAACACTTCCAAAATTCACATCAAACAGTAAATTTAGAAATATAAAAGTAATACTAGAATAAAATATAAGAGAAATTTCAAAATAGAGCAATGTTTTTTGTTTTTTTTTAAACAGTCATTTCTATGAGTGGATGAACACATGGTACTGTATATGGAACTTATACCATTCCAGAAAATCAACTGAGAAAATGTTCTGCAAATTAAATACTAGACAAATATTGTTTCAATCGATTTTTGACCTTTAGTGATGCGGGATAAAATGGCTCAAATCATTTGCAAATGCATAAAATGCATTAACTGCTAAGACACTAAACACCATTTAAACCATAGATTTAAACAAATAAAACAAAGAACTTAAATGTTAACTTGCCAGTTGCGCAGGTAACTTTAGCACAATGAAGAGAAGCTTATCACCAGCAGGTTCAGAACACCGCATGCTGCGTTTCCCCACAAAGGTCCTCACAGGCGATCGAAAAATATCCCCTCCTACGTTATTTTTTTTAGTCTTTCGCACATTGCAAACTTAATAAAATAAAATCCGAGGCGAGTCAGCGAGCAACAACAACATGGCGTCTTTTCAAAAAGTTGCAGCAGCTAGTTGAGGGCGGAGCACGTAAGCACGTGCGTGACGTCAGACGGGATTGTACTAAAACTATTTGAGTACACTGCCAAAAACAAATGAAAGCATTTGAGTGCTGTAAACTTAAAATTACATTTGTGTACTAATTACTCAAAAAATTAGAGGCGAATGAACGTTTTTATTTATTCTGAGTAATTACAACCCAATTCCTTTATCAAAGATTTACTATTTGGTTTTACAGTGTAGTGGTGTTTAGCAGAATGAGACTGGACCTCAGGGGTAACAAAAGGGCATGTAGCGCTGCAAGTCAGCACCTAATCAGATGGAGGTAATAGCTTGGAATGATTGATGTTGTGGTAAAATACTCCTGTGCATTACCTTTTTCCCAAAACTTGCCCTGTAATGAGATGAATGACAATATATTTGATTTAACTTGAGTTATAAACGCCTTGGCATTTCCCAGAAAACCTGTCTCATACCACTGAAGCACACAGTTTTCAGAATAGTTTAAATTATTGGTGCTCTTTCTTTCTTTCTTTGCATGTTGCCATGGCAATTGCTGACTGTAATTGTATACTCACTGCTCTTTGTGCAGCTGGTGGTTGGGGTCATGAGTGTAAGATTTACAAAAACATTAAAAAAAAACTGATTTTTTTCACAATTTGTTGCTTGCATTGCAATTAAAGTAACATACTGAACAAATCATCAAGTTGTACATTTATTCATTTTATTTGCATTACATAAAAACTGCATGTAGTCAGCACTAAGTGCTTCTCACCAGTGTGAGTGCCATTCATACACTGTGCAACATGTTTACCAACAGTGACATATGTATGTCTGATTTTGCGGCAACGTGACCAGATAACCCCTGTGAAGAAGTACAGAAAAAACAACAGTGAAAAGTTGGAATATTTCTAATGATGTCATTAGACATTCAGCAGGGAGCCAATCAATCAGGGGGTTATTAGTGCTAACTAAAGGAAGGCACGCACACCATTAGTCAACGGGCATCATTTTCAGCTGTGCACTAAATGGACACGGGGGGAGATGGATCGCTGTGGGTTTGGTGCCACCAGTGCAAACGTGTGTGTCTTCAGGAGGAGGGCATGCCAGATGGCTAATACGCCAAATCAGCAGGAATGTCACAGTGTAATCTTTGCCTGTCAACAACCCAAAACAAGACAGGGGACTCTTAATGACAAACAATAATGTGTATCTAAGTTACAGCTAATGTGGCTTTCAGCAATTCAGCAATAAATTTTGAATGAAGTCTTACGAATGTGTTAACGGAAAAGTGTTTGCCCATTGTTACGAATAGATAAAACAGTTATCAGAAGAACCTTAATGAAATTTGCAAATATTTTCACTATTGCTTTGGTTGTGGTCTAAGACATTTAATATTCAGTGATATTGTTGATTTGATGGTATTGACACTATCGGATTAGAAAAAAACCTGAACTGAATTAAGCTGAATAATAATTGAATTTGTCCATAATTCATGAATTTTGCAACATTGCCAGATGCTTTATAGCAGAAATTGGATTTGCCTCATTTTTTAAGTTTGCATGGTCACACTTTATTTTTAAGGTCCAATTATTGCTATGAACAAATCATTAACTATGGCTTTTGCCTCAATAAACTCCTAATTTGCTGCTTATTAATAGTTAGTAAGGTAGTTGTTAAATTTAGGTATTGGGTAGGATTAGAGATGTAGAATATGGTCATGCAGAACATGTGCTTTATAAGCACTAATAAACAGCCAATATGTTAACAAGAGGCATGCTAATAAGCAACTAGTTAATAGTGAGAACTGGTCCCTATACTAAAGTGTTACCATTTGCATCATTGATTTTGTTACTTTGTTATGACAGAACATAATTCAATCTCTCAGTAGACACTGCAATGCGATGTCAATCGAACTTTACACTCTATGTAAATTGGTTCAACCAAACCACAGAAAATAACTAATTTATAAGATTAATTTGAAAAGTTGAACATACATATTTTAAATTGCACAAAGCCTTAGAGCAGTTGAGCGCAGGATTCTTCACAGTAGTAAAAAGAAACACCACAGAAGAAGAATATATATCAGAAACAAAGGACATCAGAATAATATGCAGTTGGATATGGTAATTTAGACAGATGCTATCTTGTCAGGTGTGCTTCATTTCATTATTTCATTTCATTTCCTGCTCGAAATGCACCTAACATCATGTTGAGGAATAGCTCAACAAGAGTACAAATGGCTTCTTCAAATAAAATATTTATACCTAGCATGCAATCAAGTCCAGAGTATGCGGTGGCAGCTGAAACAATACAACCGGTTCTAATCCCCAGGGTGAAGATTCACAACGACTCCCATGTTTCTATCACGCAGAGCTGTGTCAAGATTGAACCAGGACTGATGGAGAGGAAAGAGCGATGACATGGGAGGTACAAAAGGAATGAGTGAGATCAAAAGCACAGAGAGACTAGGGAGGAAGGCAGCAGGTGAAATGTTTTCCAGTTGTTTCCCTAAGGGACCCATCCAGCCTCCACGCTGATGGGATTAACGGACATCTGTGTTAATGTTAAGACACTCACCCTCATGCAGCAGCCCAAGAAAAAAACATAGCCATGAATAAAAGATGAGCTCACATTATTCTAGCAGTACTTGAATTGACTGGAACAGATTTTCAATTTGCATTTTGCTAAGAAGCCTGTGAGCATCAGCCGCTCATTTGGCAGAAGCATATATTTTTGACAATCTTGGTTTGAAGTGCTTCAGGATCCTATTGTAGAAGAGTAAAAGCTGTGACTGGAGATGTAAGATAACCAGGATTTAAAGTAGGCTAAAACCAATATACACATATATAATTTATTTTGTTTGCATGTATATGCAGTATACTGTAAATCACAACCATATTAGGGTTTCAACATTTATTTTTAAAAGTGTGTGTGTGTGTGTGTGTGTGTGTGTGTGTGTGTACTGCTCGGGATGTAGAATATGGTCATGCAGAATATGTGCTTTATAAGTACTAATAAATAGCCAATATGTTAATAATAGGCATGCTAATAAGCAACGACAGTAGTTAATGGTCCCTATACTAAAGTGTTATCATTTGCATCATTGATTTTGTCACTGTCCTGTTTAATACTGTGAAGCTGCTTTGAAACTTTTGTTTTAGAGCAAACATTTCTCATCACGTTATAATTTGTGTAAGTAACATTAAAGGGTTAGTTCATCCAAAAATGAAAATTCTGTCATTAATTACTCACCCTCGTGTTGTTCGAAACACGAAACCAACGAAACCTTCGTTCATCTTCACGACAGTACCATGACGCGAGCGTGTGGCAGCGCCGGCGCTGACCCGTCATCACGCTGGATCTGGGTCAGTGCAGGCGCCGCCACAAGCTTGCGTCATGA